AAAATATTTTCAAGGAAAACCAAGAAAATGCTGAAGTGACAGGTGGGGAGGGAAAATTTGGGCTATCAAACAGCGCAAAAGATGGAAAACGGAAAATATTTTCCTACTTCCCTAGAAAATTTCGCCAATCAAACGCGCCCTAAGAACATGTTTGGTAGGGCTTAAAATTCAACTAAAATTGAAAATATAATCGTTATTAGATCTCACTCGTCTAATAAAAGTCAACAATAACGATAAATTTTTCAATTTTAATCTCTATCGAACACGTCCTAAGTATCTTTCATTGGTCTTCTATTCTTAAAATATAAAAAGGCGTGTCTATGTGACCGTTCAAGTCTTCAACTTTGTTTTCAAGAGTTGGTGAAAAGTACATATGGGTTAATATAGCCCTCGTTTGGCCCACTTTTCTCATTTTCATTTTTTCTTTTCTATCTTATTTTTGACCAAACAATCTTCCCTAAAATAATATTACACATAAATCAAAATATTTTCCTTCTTTTTAAATAATATTACACATATTCTCCAAAAAAAATAATATTCCAAACATTAAAAATTGAAACAAAGGGGGGCTAAACGGGTTGATCATGAGTATGGATCATCTACTCCTTTCATACTACACACTCCCGTTAGTTACATTGTATCGCAATCATAAATTAGTATATATACTGTAAAATTTCACAAAAAATTAAAGCTTACTCTTAATAGTTTTTGTTCGATGTTATATATCATATTATTTCAAAAAGGACCCCTATAAGAAATCATGAAAGCTAAAGGCTCATAATGCAATAAATATAATATAATATCTGTTCAATAAACTATTTTATAATGAATAATGCAATAATGTGACATGTTGACTGTTTTTGCATGTGAGGACAACCTTTGGTTCCAAAATGGGTCCCACCCAAGTTGGGTATTCGGACTCTTTAAGTATTCGTTGATTCGAAAGGGTTAGCTATGCATGCACATGCTCGAGACATTATCTACATTATTGAAATAATTAAAATTAAAATTTACAAACCAATTTGTTTATTTTACAAGTTTATTATGCCATTTCTTAAATTTATTACACACCATATAGAGATTATTAAATGGTTTACAAACTATTATTATTTAAAAAGTTTCAAATATAAAAAGGAGGAAATTAAATTGGTATATTATTTTATAAAATGGAAGCCTAAGCCTTATTAAAATTAATGTACCATGTTCCAAACATGCAATAAAAATAAAACGAAGAAGTCTAGTATCGAAGTCCCGACTCTTGGTTATCACTTTATTACGATAGAGGGCTACTTTCGTAATTTTACTTGATACCAAATAATTGGCTTCCCCCAACTTGTTTTGTATTGACAATTAATGAAAGAACTCAATTTAGTGCACCTTAATTTGGCTATGGCAAACATCACACACATAATTTGTGTTTCTATCAAGTGTAGCAATTCGAAAATATCACATAGTAAGCATCATTGTTTCTAATCCTTTTAAATAATTTGACATGACGTGCTATAAAGGTCAAACATGCTAAACAAGTAAAATGAATTGAACTTCTTGGACTTCATCTATTTTATATCCTAGAGACTCAAGTGGTAAGACAAGTTTATTTCATACGTTTTAACTAAAAGACTCGAACTAGATCTTATTAATATATTATATCGGGATCTAAGATTTTTCTTATTATCTAAATACGAATATCTTAAAACTTGATTTACGTATTAACTCGAAAAGTGTGAAGTCACGAGGGTTTGAATCGGGATATTATAAGTTCTCCTCCCTTAAAAAAGTTGAACTTGTCAAGCATATTCTAGTTCACCAAGTCTTCACGTGATCCGACCATTTCTTGATTACGGATTTCAGACCATTTATCGATATTCCTATTCAAATCGGATGTCGACTTCGCTTTTGATGCATTGCTAAATACAAGAAGTATTAGTACAATTATAAGTTCCATGATTAGACAATTCATCAGCACAAAACTCTCTACAATCTTGATTAAGAAAGCAAAGAATTGGAGGAAAGATAAGATGAAAAAAGTTTTAAGCCAAAAACATGACTAAAAACAGGGGATTTGACATCACCACAAAAGAATACCCAAAATGCATATGAGTGCAACTTTTGATTGGAATAGACAACTAAATTGTTGTCTGCCCAACTTTAAGAAGCCCATGTTACCTGCAATCATCCTTTTTCCTCTCCACACATTACTTCTTATCCCATTCCTCTACCTTGTCTACCTCACACACTGTGTTAATTAGAGGCCCCCATGCCCCTACCTGGGGGCTTGACACCTGTCATTATATTGTGGGACCCCTTTCTGGTTCTCTTTCCTTTTCATTTTTGTATTTTTTTTGGGTGTGGGGACTCAAAATGTTGGAAGAAACCCGTAGCAGAATTTCGTAGTCTTTAACTAATAAAAGAGCAGAAAAGTTAAAATCTTGAACATAATACCGTCTCATCGTGTTCATAACATACTAAAAACATGATCATAATTTAAGAGTGACTTCTTCCTTAGTCTCATGTTCAGGTAGTTTTGTGATCAATTTTTCCAACTCCAAAGCAATCTTGGCCTGCTGCTTTATGTTAACCATCGCCCCTCTTGCATCAGTTTCACCGGTATCATCGTCTTCCAGTAGTTCCTTCCAAAATATATAGTCACCCGACTCCTTCACGTTCACTTCTGAAGTCGAATCAACCTCATGTTCCTGAATGGGAGTTCCCGCGTCACAAGTGGTGGAAACTGACACTTCAAGAAAAATGACAATTAACGACAATGTTTTACAATAAAAAAAAGTACTATTTTCACAACGAATTTTAAATACTTGCCTTTGAATGCCTGAAAGGCATCATTTGTTGTAGCCCGACAAGCATCGGTGTTTTCTGATGCAGCAGCCACTCTCGGTTTCTTTCTGGTCTCATTGTTACTAAGATCCCTTTCCTTCCTCACAAAAATTTCTTCCAATGCTTTGGCGAATAGCATAAGCAATTTTTTCGACTTACTTTGGGCAGTTTCCATGTGTTCTTTGAAGGTGACAATTTGTGTTTTCGTATCTTCCTGTTTTTGCTTTAGTTTCTGGATTTCCAACTTTAAACCACTTATACTATCCCTCAAATTTCCAAAGACTAACCCCATTTCATACTCGTTCAAGGCAGGACAAGGTTTTCTTGTCCGTTTTTGTCTGTTTAAGGTTTCAAGTTTTTGGTTTCGCCTCTTTATTTTTATGAGCAAATGTTCTTTCCCTGCTTGAAAATATTGATTCTCATATTCCCACTGATGCTCCACTCCAATCTTTCTGAATCCCTGCAACATTCACAACATTAGAGCTGGTATATATAAATGGACAATATATACAAAAATACAAAGGAAGACAACTAAGTATCTAATACGGATAGAATAAACAAGATTTTAGCTACGGTCGACCAAGGATTATTAGAACCTACATAGTTGTTAAGTTGGTAAATAAAGCTTGAGAAGTTGCTGTGCTTAAAGTTTTGAGGGAGAAGCTCTGCAGAGAACTGGAGATGGTCCCAAACAATGAAGCTAGTACCAGAGGAACTCCATGAAATAATGGAGTTCGTGTTTGGATCATTCACCATACTAAAAATTCTTGTCAAGAATGGAGGTGGTACTCCGAATTCGCGCACTCCTTTTCCTGTTTTTAGCTTCTGCGAGTTCCACATCGGAGGTGGCCAAACTCCATCACCACTAGCTCCGGCCTCCTCCTCAATACCAACACCACCAAGATCCATCATTATAACTCTAATTTTTTCCTCAGAACTTCCACTTTTACCAATAATAGAGTACTTATTTATGCATGTCTAACACAACTACACAAGAGTACATATTTGACAAAATCAAGACCCTTAATTTCTGAGCAAAAGATTAGAATTTCATGTAAAAAATAATAATAATTAGTCTCAAAATCATAGCTTGGAATATATTCTTTTGCATAATATTTGTGTAGTTTGTACTAGTCGTTCTTGAAATTCATCACTGGATGAATGAGAATGCCACATCAATATCGTGTCAAACGAGTACAATCAGGGCATATTTGGTATAGGCCTTTTAAAATATGATTTGAATCTAAAGGCCCAATTACTTTTGTAAACATTCGGGCCCAATTAGTCCATGGATCACAGCTGACATTCACGAGCTTATGGCCGTTCTCATAATTAGCAATGTAGAAAGAGGAAATTACACCCTCCCCT